CCTTTTGTGGTTTAACCCAGCAGGCTGCTAAACACCACACAGTTCTCTTACACAAGTCCCCCCCACTCCCTGGTGCGATGGGGAAGAGAATCAGGAGAGCAGAAGTAAAGAACTCGTCAGTTGTTATAAAGACTATTTAATAACTAAAACAAACCAAACTTAAATAATAATAATGCCAATTAATTGTAACAAGAACAGGAACAATGATAGCAAAGCAATCAAAGCTATACTCAACTCACAAACAGCAGCCACAGGCCGTACGCCAATGGCAACACCACGAGGGAGGGGTAAGCCTCAGGAACTGAGACAGGCCACCATCACGAAGGGAAGGGAAAGGAAGGGACAGAAGGAGCCAAAGGAGTGAGGGATGAAGAAGGCAGCGGAAGGGTCATCCCCTGCAAACTTCACAATTTATAGTGAGTGTGACACTTATGGGATAGAATACATCTCTATTGGTCATTTTAGATCATACCCGGATCATCTGTCCTGGGTCACCTATCCCAGAGAGTCCTGGGACTCTTGCTTGCCCCCATTTCTCTTGTGCAGAGAGAAAAACAAACAAACAAACAAACAAACAAACCCAAAAGAAACTATAACCACAGTTGCTGGTGAAACCATGAAAAACATAATTATCTGCCAGCGAAAATGAAAACAATAACCTTATCAGCGAATGCTGCACTTTTCTCAGAAATCCAGCTCTGCTGAAACATTAAAAGGGAACTCTAAAATTCAATCCTAGCAAAACCAGGACTTTACACCCCTGCTATACACCATAAAAGAAAATATCCTGTCTCTGTCTTTATTTCTGAAGCAAACTATTTTTGAGATCAAATAATAGTTCACTTACGAAGTTTGTAACTTGGTTATTCACCTGAGCTGCGTAAGAACAGTGTTTAATGCAACTAATACAGAGAGAAAAATTTAAGGAGACAGTCTTCAGAGGAATTAAAAGAAAGGTTCAGTAGTTGACTGACATAAAATTTTCTAGCTGGGAGCAAGGTAATTATTTCATGATATATAGAAAGACAGAAAGAAAGACGTTGTAAGAGAAAGTGAATAAGTAGTCTTTTATCTAGACATCACAACGATTTTTTTTTAAATCTAGTAATTACACCAATAATTGAAACTGAATTGCTTACACTATTGAAAACACATACAGAAAGATTGGAATAAATACTGCAGTTGAGGGCAGTGTAATCATGAAGCTGCAGTCACATTATTGCTCTCAAATTAGCTGCCATCTCCTATTCTCACTGGAGATGAACCTAATTGTACCCTACTACGATGCCGATTTTCAAAATGGCTATTTCCTCATGTTATTTCCATGTGATGGAAATCAAGCTGATTCTGAGATGACGATGTCCCCTAACACTGTAAGAAATTGTGATGGATCAAATCTCAAGAACAGAGAGAGAAAGCTCCTTGCAAGTCCCCAGGCAAGTAACAGCTACCTTGAAAAAATCAAGGACAGAGAAATTAAAATTATCAAAACCTGAAGGTGTTATAAACCCTTAATTTTAGAGAAAGAGATTACTTTTTACACTTAGAAGTAAAGCATTCTGATCCATTGCAATGCAGCTAAATATAAAATCCCTACCAGATATGTCTAAATCTTACATTGCTTCTTAATATCTGAGTAGAATCTGTAATCTGAGTTAAGCAACTATCAGCACTACCATTTTTATGATTGAATCCAATAGGGAAATGGAGAAATCCAGGTCCAAAATATTACTAATGCTAATCCTAATACTAATGCTAATGCTAATACTAATATTAATACACAAAATAGTATTTCACAGTTAACACACTTCAGAGTGAGAATTTTCTCAGGCAGCCCACTGAACATCCAGACTATCTCTGAAACAATGCAAATAGCAGTAGGTGGATAAAATGGGGGTAAATGCCAAGAAAAACAGAATTTTTGGGGAAGCATTTGAGTTCTGAACAATATCTTGAATCATTTTTCATGTATATGACTCAGCATCACTGCAATTCCTTATAAAAAAAGCCCCCAAATCATGCCTAGTTTTGCTTAACTGTGCTCTAACTTTTCTCTAAACTGGAGACAGCATTTATAGTAAGGATAACCTAATTGACGGTTATGAAATGATGAGACCATTTAGACAGATGTCTGATTCTCCATGGACATTTTTTCTCCAGGAGAAACAAGAAAGGCCTGCAGCCGTAACTGTCTTTTCTGAATTTATAGTGGCAGATCTGTCCATCTGGATTAGTGTCATCTGCCCTTTTAGAAAAATATCAGTGCCTGCAAGGCTTTAAAAGATAAATTATCGATGTGAAGGAAAGATTCCATGTTGACCTGCTGATTTATATTTTTTTAAGATAAACTCAAATGAGGATTTTCTCCAAAAAGACAATTATGTTTACAACTTCCATTGAAACTATCCACTAAAAATTTGAAAGCATTAAATGTTAGTCCACAGACTATCCCTAAAAGTTATAAGGTCTTCCTGAAAAGAGCTAACTTAAAACAAACTGACCAGGCAAAAACATTATTATTGCAGCTGTGACACTTGGGCAGAATCGCTGAAGGTGTCTTGAACCAGAGTTGGAGAAGTGGAGCTCGCTAAAGTAGAGGAGTTTGCAAATAGCAATAGATCTGCCCATTGCAGAAGTATTGCAAAGCTGAAATAACACAGCAAATACATGCATTCTTTAGGAAAAAAAGACAAGAATAACAATTGTCAAATAACTTCCTCACTTATTCAGCATCCATAGTGAAAGCATATAGCCAAATTCTTTTGATATAAAGAGATCCTACAAACACATCCACTGCAGAGAATAATGTTATGGTCCTTTAAAGCACCAGCTCTCGAGCTCAGGCTGGCAATACAATGTACCACATCTACGCTCAGATGCTTGCACGTAACAGTTGGATGTCACTTTATGTGCTATTTTTTCCCTTTGAACATGCAAGAAAATAAATGCATTAACAGTAAGATGACACAAATAGTATTTTATTAAAGGATGAAGGCGTAAGAGTGCATAGTGTAGATGGTAATGTGCTACTTCCTTCTCCTAGTGGAGAAACATACATAAGTTACTCTGGGCAAGGAATGACAAATGAAATGCCTGCCTGCTCTTGGTAATGCAGGGAAGGCCATCAGCTTCTGTCTACAAGTAATGTGAATATAAAACATGAAAGATTAGCAGAAGCTCTTCCTGCTCTATTTGACTAGTTACTCTCCACTACTACAAAGAGATAAAAGAACAAAGGATCTCATAAAACAGGATTTTTGAAGGACTACAGGAAAAAAAAAGGGGAAAAAAAAGAGGAAAAAAAAGAAAAAAAGAGAAAGAAACAAAATCTATTAATTAGAGATTTTCATCAGCCCTGGATTAGAGGCCCCATCTTCTTTGAAGGCTGTAATTCACTGAAAGTGGTAAGTACTAGTGCTACAAATAAGAAGAAAGAATGAAAAACTGGGTTAAAATGACATTACCATTTCCCAAGTAACACTCCTAACCACAGAACAGCTAATGTCCTTTTAATAATTTAGCTTGTCACATATCGTCTTCCCATGGCACCCAGTTAAACAGAAGAGGGTAAGTTAACTTAAGCTCTTTGCATCTCCTGTGAAAATAGTGTGCTTAAAAACTTGTGGATGAAAGAATGCAAAACAGAAACATAATGTTTAGATTCTTAAGCTTCCTAACTTCCAGAAATCACATTTATGCATATTTTTCATTGACAAAAGTTTGTAAAAAGCATTCAAAACTAATAAAAATAATTCAATAGTGTGAGTTGGTTACACTAAGAAGACTATTTCAACAGCAGCTATTTACATTTGAAAACTCAGTATTTCCCATTATGAGATAGCCTACAATAAATGAGCAGTCACTGCTCAAGCTGTACTTCTCTAAGCAACAAAGAAGCCAAATATAATCTCATTTTATGCCTCCACCAGCTGACGCATCCTATGGAATTTGTGGTATATACTGAGAGCAAGCAGAAATACTTTCTTTAGCTTTCAGATGTATTAAGCGAAGGGATATAAGTACTGATACGTAGTTTTGACTTCATGTTAGTGTACCAGGATATATAAAGTAAAAGAAACTGTTTTTTATTTAAACTGGTGTGCATTGTTGGCTGACTTTCATTCTTATACTGATAGGAAATATAAATGTTATTTATGTCCATATAAATGAAATGAGTTGAATTATTGTACAGGCATCAGTTTTGTATACTTTCTTGTTTAGAGATTCAGATTACAAAAATTAAAAATTCATTTTAAAAAAAATATATCAAATCATACCTTCAAATGTGATTGCTGTTATTGTTGCTAAAAATAGCTGTTTTTATCAATCAAAATACAGTCAGTAATCATCTACCTTCTATATGAAAACAGGCTGTTTTACTCATGGGAATTTGAAATGAGAATGTTGGTAGCCAGGAAGGGTTCTCACTCAAGAAGAGAAAGGAAGAAAACACCTGAAAACTGAAAGATTAATTTCCAATTTCATGCATGGTCTTTAACGTGCAGGCTGGTAGAAGCAGAGTTTACAAGCAGAGTATAAGAGGAGTCTCAACAAGAAGTTGCCTGCAAATTTGATCTTTGACAAATAAATTAAAGATTATTATTGCTCTATTATTAGTACTTTGCATAGCTATTCACAACAAGCTGGAGTCACAAAAGTCTTAAAATAGAGAAAAAAATCAATATGCATAATCAATCAGCTACCGCTCTTGGCACTCATTCAGCCAAAACTTGATAAAAAGAACATGACTTCAGGACAACCACTACTTTACCCTTCCTAACAATCTGAACATAATTTATATAGGAAAACATGTTCAGTGATCTAGCCAATTTCCAAAGGAAATTCAAAAAGTATTTCACTTATTGGAATGAAAAAAAAACAACCCAAACTTTAACTGAATCGTAGCATAGTTCTGCAGAAAATCTATGTTTTCATGTACTTGTTTTATTTAAAGACATGTGAGCGCACTGTGAACAGTGGCACAAGAAAATGGATCTTACCACTGCAGCTGGAACTTGATGCATTTTTGCAGCCGGGGTTCCTGGGCGTGGGTAAAATTGATTAATAAACAAGCTCGGAAACCTGTACTGTTCTACGAGTTTCATTGTTTCTTGAAAATCTTCATCTGTCTCTCCTGGAAAACCACAGATGACGTCTGTAGCAAATGTTATTCCAGGCACTCTGTAAAGAAAATAAAAAGGAAAACTGAACTAAGGACATGTAAAAGTCTTGTTCCCTTGAAACCTGGTATACATAGAATTATAACCCCTCAACTTTATCTACAGAAATTGAGACCTAAAATGATCTTTGGAAAAATATAGTGACATTTTAAAGGCATTGCTTGGTAACAAAATACACACTTGGTACTCAGCCGAGGTCACACGAAGTAGAAGAAAGGTATTGCAGAAAATACTGGATTAGGACAGAAGAGTGAAAACATCTGGACCAACTTCTCCTTCATTTGAAATTACAGGTGATCAGCAGAGCTAGTAAACTTCTTGAATTCTGATTGCTTAATCCACAAAATGTGTAACTTCTGCGACTTAGCCACCAGAATATATAAACTATGTAATGCATTATAATGCTGCTATCGAAGTGGAACAGGATATCAAAAAAAGGGGAACTGGCATGCCATATAACCCAGCAATTTTGAACAAAATTGGCTTTGGAGCCAAAAAGACATCTCTTGGTCACAAGTTAATTTCTAACTCAGTACTCCATAAAATCAGTCTATGCATTGCTTTAAAAGGAAAATAAAATACCCAAGTTTACAAATGCACAGGCACCGAGCTCTCATGTTATTTACCAAGGTCAACATTCCCTAACTGTTCCCCTTGGACTGCGTACACAGAGCCCTTACGCGCAACAGCTTCAGAGAGCACAGCTAAGAGAGGCAGCCAAGAGGCGCAGCAGTCGGCACAGCAGGGGGGTGCACAGAGGGAGGCCTCAGCTGGAATTGTGCCACAGTTACAGTCTCCAACAGGATGGTAATACATTACTGGGCATTTTCTCCAGTAGATGCTGGAGGAGCCATCCCTGCTAGGGTTGCAGCTTGCACCCAGACTGAGTTTCAGATGGTGGATGCAGCCCTCCAAGTCCCAGGGGCCTTTCTCTGATGCCAGGAGATGGGCCTCTGTCCTGCAGGAGCTGTGCCTCCAAGTGGAGGAGTTATGGGGGGAAGTGAGCTGGTTGCACAGCATCAGAGAAGACAGCAGGATCTTTTCTGCAACTCAAAAGCTTGAAGAGCCTCAGCCCCCATTTGCAATAGAGAAGCAGGTAGTGTCAACCCCCACTAACAACGGAAGGAAAACCTCTGGAGAAGGGGAAGGATGGAAGACAGTGACCTCTGACACCACGAGGAAGGTTCTTGACCCACCTGATGGCTTACAACTGCAATATAGGTTCATCACCCTCAAAATCCTGGTTGAGCCATATGTGCCAACCAGCAAAGCATCTGGTCCTCCAAGCCCTCAAACCACACAAGACTACCAGGAAGAAGAGTCATCATAACGGGTGACTCCCTGCTGTGGAGGACACAGGCATGCATCTGTCGACCCGACCAACCATCTACAGAGGTGTGCTGTCCAGGGGCCAGGATCCAGGATGCTGTGGGGCTCATCTGGTTCTCTGACTACTACCCCCTGCTCTTATTTCATGTGGGCACAAATGATACTGTTAGTGGAAACCTGGACAGTATTAAAAGTGACTACAGAGTTCTGGTGGGCAGTAGTCAAGGGCATGGGGGCTCAGGTGGTGTGCTCCTTGTCAGGAAGCACTCTTTTACTGAGGGTGACTGAGCACCAGCACACGTTGCCCAGGGAGGCTGTGGAGTCTCCCTCCTTGTAGATACTCTAAAGGCATCTGGACATGGTCCTGGGCAATTGGCTGTAGGTGGCCCTGCTCGAACAGGGGAGGTTGGACAAAATGACCTCCAGAGATTTCTTCCAACCTTAACCCTTCTGTCCTTCTGTGACATGGCCCAGAAAAATGAGTCTTACAATCAAAAGATTACTGCATGGTATTTACAGAGCATTCTATGGGACCCAGGAGTTACCAACTCAGTTTTCCAATCTGACTCCAGCCAGCTAGATGACCACTGTCCTGTGAGAAATTGGAAAACCACAGCACTGCGTTGCATTCAGCCTGATTGTGTGAAGTGTAAACAATGATAAACCCCTTCTGCAGAGAGGCAGAAATGTATAGTGCTCACAAGTGCTCCGTGCTCCCTACTGACACAGATGGACCTGTTTCTACAGCAAAGAGTTGATACTACACTATCAGCGACAATGATGAACTGAAGAAAATATGATTTATGAGGAAAAGTAAGAACCCTATAAAGATACTGGTGGTATCTGACTTAAAGCTGGCCCTATTTCCCGTGTGGGGAAGAGATGAGATGACTTCCAGAGGTCCCTTCCAAACTAAATAATTCTTCAGGTCTTAAGTAAACTACAAGCAAGGGAATAGTTGAGACAGATTCTTCTAGAAGTGAATGGTATAAAGACCACTGCCACAAGCAAAGCTCACATCTGAGATTAAGAAGGGGTCTCCAAGACTGTCTCCAACCTAAAGAAATGGCTAGAAGGCTTCTCTTCCCCTCACCAGGAACTGTAGATACAGATGCATGTAATCCAAATGACATTTATAAAGCACTTAAAACGGCCAAAGAGAACTATAATTTCTTATTAGACAGTACATCACCACAGAAAAAAATAATGCTGTGGTTCCATTGGGAGAAGAAACTCGAGTTTGAATAGCTGAAAGAAAAACTTGCTGCAACAATGAGTTCTACTGGAACAGGAGCATCTGTTGGCAAAAGACTCAAGAAAGGGAAAGTAGAGAATATTGTTCTTAGTAATTTGATTAGGTGCAATATTAGAGCATGCATAGCTTATGTTCACCACAGCCGCTTTCGTACAAACAGTATATGGCCGTAAATACCTTTTGCGACTTTTTTTTTTAACTTAAAGGAAATAATTTTTTATTTCAGTACTGGCAATGAGCTTATATTAAAGCAAATGCCTTGGCCTCCTTTTTACATATATATATATATATAATACTATATATTGCATATATAGCTAGCTGCACAGGAATTTATGAGACATTAAATTATTGGAATCTTCTTTCATCTTTTCCTTATGAAAAATCTCCACAAAAACCCCAAAATTCTTTCAATTCCATTTTGAATTCATGAATTTAGACTTCATCGTTTCAGATGAAGTTAAAACATGACATTTGAATGCCAAATCAAAACCAGTATAAAACTGAACATTTTCAAGGACTTGGTCCAATAATCGTAAGTAGGAAATACAAGCTGAATATTGCACAGAACAGCAAAAATCCCCAGAGCTGCTGGCTAAACAGCCTCAATTACTCTTGCTTTCTTAAGACTGACAAACTGCAGGATATGATGTTCTGCTTGATATCAAATAACAATAAGATTCGTTAGCTTTAAGGACTGAATGAACAGAGGAGCACTGTATTCTGCAACATGACTTTGTTCACATTGCAAATATCTTGTGCAGTAACAGTAACCTTCTGGAAGAAAAAGTACATTACTTTATAAATCAATATCACATAACATCAGCTGCCATTTCTCAGAACATGAACAGAATATTCATTAAGTTTGACAAAACCATTATAATGAAGTTATTTTAAACATCTTAATGACACTGTTGGCAACAGTCAAAGCATTTATTACCAATAGTAGTAGTAATACCATCCTTTATAAAGGTTTGGTTGTTTCTATAGCAACATGAATTATAAGGTCCAATCAAGCCAGATACAATAAAATATGCTCTTTTTCTCCATAACGCCAGTTGTCATTCAGTCAAAGGAAATTACATATTTTAAAAATTCATAAACTCTACAAATGTCTGAACTCCATTTGGTGATAAGGTGTTAATTATCTTAGTAATTAGATTTCTTCCTGGATGGAATTATTACACACAAAGAAAAGCTAGAGTATGAAAAGAGAATAAGGACTAGAGCGTATTCAGCAACAGCAACTAATTACAGTGCAATCCAGTATGACTGCTTAAAATATGACATTGCATAGCGCATTTTTACACCACTCTTGATTGTATTGTTTAAAAAGTAGTTTTGAAAGGGGAGAAAAGCAGGAGGTTTCACTCAGAATAAAATCCAGTTACCGACAAAAATCAAGCTCTTAGCCTTTCTCAATGCATTGATGAACAAAAATAAGTACAATTAGTTCCGCATGCAAAATATCATTCCTTAATGAAGAAAGAGGGAAAAAGACATAATTGTGGAAATATACAAAACACATATGCACTTGAAAATTAGAGTGACCTTTGCTCTGACAGCCTGATAGAAAGCAGCACGAAAACCCTCATTGTGTACATTCAGATGATATTTAAAATATTGTCCCAGCAATAAAAGAGAATGCAAAGTTACACAGGAACCAATTTCTTGTGCATCAGCCAATACTAAATTGTTTCGTGAAATGAAATGCAGTTTATCAATTCTGAAGTAAACAAAGGAAAAACTGCTGAGCACCCCCAGTAAGCATTTTGTAACATTTATTACATAAATGCATTTACAGCAAGTCTAAAAATTCAATTGCAGCAAATGTTTTCTAGGGTCAGTAGAGAAGCTCCACAACACATTGTTCAGTGAACCAAGAATACACAGTGGTCCTTATGAAAGACAAAATTATTTTTAAAAAGCAGAAAGTTGCTTCAAACAGGAAGCCTGGATGCTCTTTACAGCCAAGCTAATGAAGGTGGTCATTCTGTTTCAAAGCCTCTGAGCACAAAATGACTTAAACTTTGCCAGCAATTTAAAACCCTTATAACTCTGACAAACACCTAGAAAAATTGCGTGCAATCATTTTATCTGGCAATCATAAATTCGGCAAGATTTTTTCTCTGAATAGGTACTATCACCTCCATTCCCTTGACTTTAGAAACCAGGAAAAAACCCAGTTCCAAGTCAACTCTCAATTGGAAGATTTTACAACAAAATTGTATAATTTCAGAAAAAAAGAGGAATTTGAGGTATAATCAATGCCATGTACAAGATAATACAGCCCCAATACTTAGGGTTCCTCAACATTCTCTCCCATATGTCCCTCTACATAGATAAATCCCTTCCATCTACTCAAGCAGATTCATGCTCTGTCATCCCGAACCAGACCAGCAATACAATCACCATAATCC